CCTGGTGCAAGCCTGATCGAACCAGGCATCGTCTCTCATCGCGGGACCTGTGCTGTTTTCCTGCGCTCGGCCTGTGTTGTAGCCTGTTGCAGTTTCCTTCAGCGCTGCCTGTTGCTCGGCATTCCTTACTTGTCCAGGCTTGCAGACGCAGACAGGAAGGAGTGGATAGGGACAGGGATGGGGAGGATAGAACACTCAGCCTGCACTCCTGAGGACAAGGTCAGGGCAGGGTCACTGCCGATAAACGTGTTGCAGCGTCTTTGCCTGACACGGTGGATCTGCTCCATGGCCACAGCTAAACCACAAAGCAGCACGAGAGGGAAATCCTGAAACAGCTGGCTTTTTATTCCTCCTGTTTAAACTCATTAATAGGGCTGCATATCGCCAAGAACAATCGCAAATGCAAATCAAGCCACAGCCTGAGTGAGCTCTGGTAGTCACCAATGACGAGTTCCACCACTCACAAGAAGGCAGAACCTGCACCTGTCATGTCGTTCTGGGTGGAATTCTGCACGATCTGGAAACTACAAATAATCTTTTCCGTATTTTACATTCTTCTGTATGTTGTTTTTGTCATTCGTCATGGTGAGCTCAGGCCCTCTGTCACAGTTTCCTAATCGAGCCCATCGCCCCAGTTGCTGACTGGCAGCGCGCTCACAGGTGTGGAGGCTCTGACGAAGCTGTTAAACAAGAAACTGTGAAACAAGAGGGTTGCAGTGATTAATGCTTTATTGAAATGGTGTTTCTTAAATACAAAAGTAGCTGTTGTTCCGGGGAGGGAAATCAGAGTTTCCACTGCAGAGCAGCCTGATCCACACCAGTCTATACCAACAGCAAGCTCTTTATAAACTTGCAAACACCAGGTGAGGGATGTTTCGACAGTCTTGCTCTCTTTTAAAAATGAGATCAGCAAAGGACAGAGGAGCAGAGTTCTGAAACCATTCAGAGCCTCTGCTGCTCTGCCTCAGCACCGCAGGGTCCAGCGGAGCCCGTGTCTGTGTGGCTCAGAAGGGACCGTGCCACCGGGCGGCTGGAGCCCGACGGCTCAGGCGAGTCTGCAAACCCCCGGCGGCTCTGCGCAACCCCAGCACTGCCAGGGCCCTGCGTGGAGCCCCGCGCCCGTGCCTGCAGGCTGGCAGGGGGCGGCCCTGCCTCTCCCCGGGCGCCGCGTGCCGGCGGAGCCGAGATGACAGCAGAGCCCTGACCACAGCGGTGAGAGGAGGGCGCGCTGCAGCCGTGCAAGTGCAGCAGCCGAGACACCCCGGCTCAACCACAACAACAGGCAGCAGCAGCAGCAGCGACATGAGGTCACGGAGGAGCACAGGCACAGCGGTGCTCTACTTTTAGTGCCTTTCCATTCGGGAGGAAAACCCACACTCTCTCTCTCTCTCTCTCCCCCCTCCTCCTCCTCCTCCTCCTCCTCCTCCTCGTCGAGCTGCGCGGACGTCAGTGACCGCGCAGAGCCCAGCGCTGTCCTCCTCTCCACAGCTCACTGCAACAACTGTCACTTCGGCGCTCAGCACTTTGGGGGGGGTTTGTCAGCAACACATCACCCTTGTTTTGGCGGCTCCGGCTTCCGCCGCGGCTCAGATTGCGATCTCTAACACACAGAGGTGCACCGCGTGGCATCCAGCACCTAACTTTCACGTTCAGCTTATCGGTGCCAGAAAGCAGTGGTGCTCATCATGCCATTCCGCCAGGCAGCAGCGGCAGTAGTTACTGGAGCAAGAACCAGGCACACTGGTGCCCGGCG